TAAGGAGAAATTTTCTGACAGTGAGAACAATCATCCAATGGAACAGAAGTTGCCTTCAGAAGTTGTGGAAGCTTCATCACTGCACAGAATTTAAATATATATTAAGGAAGCCACAAAGAGGAAATTTATGGTTTGAAAAAATGCTAAAGAGTTTATCGGTATACTTGCTTTTTTGGCTCGGTAATCTGTTGGCTAAGTGACCCAAAGGGATTACATATGTATTTAAGGAAGTTGGGAAGAGTTTTTAAATCCCTAGTTTGGGACAATAGATATAGCTCAATATTGCCCCCTAATGCCCTGATCAATGAGCTCCATACAAAGAGGTCTGAATAAAAGGAAAATCGGTTTTTATATTCCCCTCAAGTCTTTCCTATAAGGATGTATGGGTGTGAGAGTTGGGACACTAACAACAGCTGATCGAAGAATTGACGCCTTTGAACTGTGGTGCTGGCATAAATTATTGCATATGCCATGGACAGCCAAAGTAAGTAACAGAGATTTTGGGCTCAATTATGGCCGCAAGTCAAGGACTACCTGTATTATTATTCATAACTCAAGCACCCTTGTCTGGTCTACCTTGAAGACATGACAACTGACCTCATTGAGCAGTTAAAAACAAAACCCCATAATTATTCCAGCTTTAACATTGCTAAACCGTGATTGGCTACTAGTGTCCAATGTTGTGGATCTCCAACTGAATGGTGTGATGCGCTAACTAAATCATGATTTAATCTATGTAGTAGTGGAATGTGAAGGCTCACAAGATTAGTAAAGCCAGGCTGATGATCAGCAGGCTCACGCTCGAGACTCATTGCGGCCGCGAGGCAGGGTGAGTTCCCTGCCCATGCTCCAGCTCCTGTTGACCCAACAATTCGAAAGCAAGCGATCATGAACAGATAAGTGGGAAACTTCCCGGGTATACAAAGGGAGCCCCCCCCCCCCAACTGATTATTCCCCAAGCAATGGAGATGTCGTTGGCAAATCCTATCTATGTAGTCAGTATTTGCACATTTGTTTATCCTCTTGTGCAATTCATCATTAGTGTTTTAGCCATTGTTTATCCACTGCAGGTTGAAGGCTTCCTCTGCTTGTTTTCAACCAAGACGATCCTGAGTTTTCTTTTGCCAATTGCGCCCGCAATACTTGCTGATCTCATCGATCCATCTCATTTTAGGTCTCTTTCATGGATGCTTTTTATCAAGTGGGATCCATTCTATGACCTGCCATCAGTTCTTCTTGCTATGTGACCAGTCCATTTCTATTTCAATTCATTTACTCTCTTCATGATGTCATATACTTTTGATTGTTCTCTAATTCAGGTGGGGGTCTTTCTATCTTGTCTTCTAATATCCAGCATGGATCTTTCCTGTTCTGACATAGGCTTCAGAAAATCACAAAGCAGACTGCTTGTCCAGACAAAAAACCCTTTTTATTAAGCTAATGTGAANACTAGCTATATGTCTTCCTTTACATTGGTTCTGTTACACAAAATGCTCATTTATTGGTAACAGAAGAAGCCAGCCTTTTCCTCTTATAAAATATCATTATTGCTGCTTATACAATCTTTTGTCACTCCTACATTTAAATGTATTGAAAAAAATATAAGGAAAATATTCCAACAGTGCTCTATAATCGTAAAGATACAAGCCACAAGGTTATGGTCATAAATGGGAGGAGATAGGTACTGTGTTTCCCCAAAAATAAGACAGGGTCTTATTTTCTTTTGACCCCCGAAATAAGCGCTTAGCGCTTATTATTTTTGAGGTGCAGGAGATGGCGAGCATGGTCACCTCATGCCTGCTGCTGTGCTGCAATATTTTTGGGGAGGGCTTATTTTAGCGCATACACTCTAAGCCCAATTGGGCTTATTATCCACAGAGGTCTTATTTTCAGGGAAACAGAGTAATAGGATGAGGAAGGATGAGAAGAAGAAGAATAGTAATTTCAGTCTTGGTAAATAGTTTGACAGTGTGGTGGGAATTAGTTCTTTACAGAGTGATAGCATGTGGGGGGGAAACTGTCTTTGTGTCTAGTTGTTCTGATGTGCAATTCTCTATAACATCATTTTGAGGGTAGAAGTTGAAACAATTGATGTCCAGGATGTGAGGGGTCTGTAGATATTTTCACAGCCCTCTTTTTGACTCGTGCAGTATACAGGTCCTCAATAGAAGGCAGGTTGGTAGCAATTGTTTTTTCTGTAGTTCTAATTATCCCTTGAAATCTGTGTCTTGTCTTGTTTGGTTGCACAGCCAAACTAGACAGTTATAGAGGTACAGATGACAGACTCAGTAATTCCTCTGTAGAAGCTCCCAGTGATGTAAAAGGAATTAAAAGCTTCCGGTGATAAAGCTCCTGCAACCTCTGAAGGCAAAAGCTGTTCCACTGGTTGAATGTTAAATGACTGGACAGCTGATATTTACAGCTGATTCTGTGTGAAACCTGAAACAGGGATGTGCAAAATATTTGGACTTCCTGACCTCAAAAGTGCCATTTTGAGTTTCCAAACATGCAACACAAGTCAGGTGCTTTGAGAATTTCCTTCTGAAGTCAGAAGAAAACTTAGTTCTAAAGACCGAAATCAAAGTTAGCAGTTTCATATCTTCTGTCTGCTATGAGCCCTGATGTCGGGTTGCTTTCATGTGGGTAGGTATGGAAAATTGCTGTTTGTGTCACCACAGTTGAATGCTTTTGTGTGTTGGGGCAATGTTAAAAGTCATGCTTGCAATGAAGAAGCAGCAGGAGTCTTTCGCCACAAGCTCACTGCAAATTTCAGAAAACCTCTATTTCATTTGTCAGGGCTTGAAAGGAAAAAAAAACATTATTGTTGTTGTTTTACTGCGAGCATACCGGCCCACATTAAAAATGAAATTCTGTTGCCTTGCTCTTATAACACATACATACACATGATATATGCATACATAAATATAGCTATATGCATACATAAATATAAATATAACATTCATAAATTACACAGGCAAGAAAAACCCACCTATAGATTGAGTGAAACCAGGCTTAATAGCAGTAACTGTGAGAGGGATGTTGGCGTCTTGGTGGACAACCAATTAAATATGAGCCAAAAAAGCCAATGCAATCAAAAGTTGCATAAACAGAGGGATACACTTAAGATCAAGAGAGGTACTAATACCAGTCTATAAAGCCTTAGTCAGACCACACCTGGAATACTGCATCCAGTTATAGTCACCACACTATAAAAAGATGTTGAGACTCTAGAAAAAGTGCAGAGAAGAGTAACCAGGATGATTTAGGGACTGGAGGCTAAAACATATAAAGAATGGTAACAGGAACTGGGCATGGCTATTCTAGTGAAGAGTAGGCCCAGGGGAGACATGATAGCAGGGTTCTGAAAGCCAAGGTGGCGCAGTGGTTAAATGCAGCACTGCAAGCTACTGCTAGATCAGCAGTTCAGCGGTTCAAACCCCACCGGCTCATGGTTCAGTCAACCT